GGGAGATATAACTCCAATCAAGGAAGCACATCAGGTGGTTCAGGCAAATATAACTCCAACACTGGAAGCACATCAAGTGGATCTGGGAGATATAACTCCAACACAGGTAGCACATCTGGTGGTTCTGGGAGATATAACTCCAACACAGGAAGCACATCAGGTGGTTCTGGGAGATATAACTCCAACACAGGTAGCACATCTGGTGGTTCTGGGAGATATAACTCCAATCAAGGAAGCACATCAAGTGGATCTGGGAAATATAACTCCAATCAAGGAAGCACATCAGGTGGTTCTGGGAGATATAACTCCAACACTGGAAGCACATCAGGTGGTTCAGGCAGATATAACTCCAATCAAGGAAGCACATCAAGTGGATCTGGGAGATATAACTCCAACACAGGAAGCACATCAGGTGGTTCAGGCAGATATGGAAATAATCAAAGTGGAGGATGTACGGGCTCGGCTGGTTGCAATGATAAGCACATCAAATGGTTCAGGAAGATATAACTCAAATCAAGGAAGTACATCAAGTGGGTCTGGACGATATAACACCAACACAGGAAGCACATCAAGTGGATCTGGGAAATATAACTCCAACACAGGAAGCACATCTGGTGGGTCTGGGAGATATAACTCCAACAAAGGAAGCACATCAAGTGGATCTGGGAAATATAACTCCAACACAGGAAGCACATCAAGTGGATCTGGGAGATATAACTCCAACACAGGAAGCACATCAGGTGGTTCAGGCAGATACAACACCAAGACAGGAAGCACATCAAGTGGATCTGGGAGATATAACTCCAACACAGGAAGCACATCAGGTGGTTCAGGCAGATATAACTCAAACCAAGGAAGCACATCAGGTGGTTCAGGAAGATATAACTCCAACACAGGAAGCACATCAGGTGGTTCTGGGAGATATAACTCCAACACAGGAAGCACATCAGGTGGTTCAGGCAGATATAACCCCAATCAAGGAAGCACATCAAGTGGATCTGGGAAATATAATTCCAACACAGGAAGCGCATCAAGTGGGTCTGGAAGATATAACTCCAATCAAGGAAGCACATCAAGTGGATCTGGAAGATATAACTCCAACACAGGAAGCACATCAAGTGGATCTGGGAGATATAACTCCAACACAGGACAAAATGGATCTAACAGGCAGAAATATGGAAATAATCAAAGCGGGGGTTGTACGGGCTCGGCCGGTTGTAATGATAAGCAAGGCAGATATCAAACTGGGTCACAGGGATCACAAAGTGGTTCAGGAAGATATAACTCGAACACAGGAAGCACATCAAGTGGATCTGGGAGATATAACTCCAACACAGGTAGCACATCAAGTGGATCTGGTAGATATAACTCCAACACAGGAAGCACATCAAGCGGGTCTGGAAGATACAATTACAACCAAGGAAGCGCATCAGGTGGTTCAGGAAGATATAACTCCAACCAAGGCAGTCAACAAACTCGTGCTAGTAGATATAACACCAACCAAAGAAATCAACAAAGTGGCTCAAGCAGATACAACAATATGCCATCTACCTCTGGTTGTGGTGGTTCACTTGGTTGTCGTCTTGGTATATCAAACAAGGGACAGACGGGCTCAACTTCATATGGGCAAGGGATGGTCCAGCGTCCAAGGTGTGGGTTCGGCAGCAGGTCGAATTGTATGACCTCCATGGGATCGTCATCTTCTGGAAATGCTGGGTCAAACTCTGGAAGGGGAAACTACATGAACGGCAGCAATGGTAAATACAGCCAGACCTCCGCTGTCAAGTACGGGCCGGGCCAAGACAGAAGTTCGAGTGGCTCTTCTGGATTCGGAGCCAGTCGTAGAGGGTCGTCTTTTTACCACAGCAGCTCCAGCAGCTATCGTCGCAGCAGCAGTGGCCACCAGACGTCAGCTACCAAATTCTCTAAGTACGGTGCTTAAGCAGAGAGATAAACGCTGCTACTAGTACAAGTATGGTCATATCTTCACAGTACTTGATTTGATATGCTGCATTTGTGCAGCACGCAGGCAGATCGTACTTTAGAATACAATAGTTGTTTTATTTTTCTAATTGAAGATCATTCTTACTCATGCAGTGTTTACACAAGAGTTTTAAAAAGTGAAACTCCATGATAATAAATGTTTGGAATCCCTTTTTCCTCTAGATAATAGCAAAATCAACCTTCGAGCTTGATGTTTGTGTATTGTTTGTCTTTTTGAACGTTTTATGTGCTGTTCTTAGCAATTTATTGTCAACCGACTGTCTCGCATTTTCAATGCTTTTCTTTATGTACAAATTTACAGTATGTCTTCACGGAACATCGTGACGCGATGGAACATCAAAATTAGTATGGTTTGATACAGGAACATAATGAAAGTATTGTGTTTTTTACATACTCAATTGGGCGGAAGAGGGGGGTCTTTATTTATGTTCCAATGCTGATTTTACTTGCGTTGTATTGCTGATTATTAATTGAATGCAATTATTTTTATGTCCATTTGGAAATCAAGCACAGCTCGCAATCTACTTGCTTTCTTATCTTTTGTGCTATTGTCTTGGGAGGTGCTGTATGTTTAACTTATTTACGATCTATTAAAGGGTTTTGCGAATATAAACATGTTATTACTCTTCTTTCTGTGCTTGCATGTGCCTAAATTGTGTCGATGGTGTCGTGAAACACCCTATCTTTAAACAGAATAAACATCTATTTGCGCAGAGAAAACATAGACTATTAGACACAAGTGGATCTCTGAAAAAAGTCAGACTCATGAATCATTCCTGGAAGTCTGCACCTAGGGTTGTAAACATTGCCATTTCTCTATCAGGCTACATAGTCACTTCGAAACGAATTTCACCATGATAAAATCGCCTTTTGCAACGAACTACAGCCAACCATAATATGGCTCTGTATTTTGTGGTCTGTCTGCCACCCTGAGAAGAGAACAGTCAATTTGACAACATGGAATCTTGCTTTATAGCTTTGTTGTCCACTTTGCCCTACTCAGGCCACCGGTGCTTAAACGCCCTTTCCATCTGCTTCTTTGTAAGAGTTCTGTGAAATGAAGAGGGAAGGACCAACGTCTGTGATGCAGAGATAAGGCTCCACTATAGCAAGCAGAAGATGCAAGTTTGATTCCTGAGTTTGGGGGGGGGGAGGGGAGAGATGTGATTTTAATCGAGTATCTCAATCTCTCTGTGTGATGTTGTGTCCTGCTCAGCCTGGGTTGGCCCAGACCGGCATGATCGCCGCTACATCTAAATTTTGTCGCTGGAGTCTTAAAACACCTACATTTAAAAAAAGGAGAGTGTAAAAGGTCGTTGTGAGCTTATTTGGTATCTTGCTGGACTATAAGTTGGATAGCCCTGGTTCCAACGCCCCGTGGTCGGTCTGAACTTGATTTGTTTTGGGCATGGGGAGTTTTAAGGCTCTCCAACCATTTGCCTAGGTGCTGTTGGAAATGGACGTTACATTCGGAGGTCCCTCCTGCGAAATAACATACCGTACGGTGTTGAAAGGGACGTTAACATATACCAAACCTATACAACGAAATGGAGAGGGAAGGATCGTGACGAAAAAAATGGCCGTTGTGCCCAGGGGCGAAGGCTGACTTGTTTGACAGGGTAATCAAAATTCAAAATGAGATGGGACCAGATAGGGCCTGGAGATATCACACTCACACAAGTCACAAGAATCTTACTGGCACTGGCGGCAGCAACTCTAAGTTGTGAATGAAAACAAATCCTGAATTCATGTTGTATGCATATTCAACCGCTAAAATAATCGGGAAAGTATTTCATTAAATATTTCTTCTAACTAACCTTAAATTTAACTTTAGATTTGAACACACGAACACAAAGGAAAGAAGCAGAGATGTCAGTACTATAAAGTGCAAGTTATACCAGACAGCCGAAACACTTTGGTAGAGCATGCCAATTATTAATTTTTTATTTCATTTTTGGCTGGTTTTTGTCTAGCTTTTCGCGGCCAGGAGCCGGTGTCATAATTGAGGTCACGATCTGATTATAGGACGTTAAAAAGTCGAGGGAAAAAAAACTAGCACTCAAAGCAGTCAAGATATTATTAGGAGTTAGTTCCCCTCACATCTGTGAGGTGGACTCGACCATTGTAATAGTTAGCTTACATAATCAGAGCGTACGGGTGCTTATACCTGTGGCTCGAAAGGGGTGACTGCTTATGGAGTGGGCCGATAGGGGCGAACAGGCTATTTCTGTGGCAATGAAACGGTTTTGAAGGTTAGGCACAGTCTATTGTTCATTGATGATTATGAACGTCTTTCTACATTTAATTTATGAGGTTTACGTCTATGGGTGAATTTGACTGCGACAATGTTCAAAATTAGGTAGGGAAGCAATGATTATTTGATTATATAGACGCTTCGCCTCTGGTTGTGCCAATACTCGTCAGTCCACATTTTTGCTTGGAAGTGGCAGAGGAGGAGGAGGGGGTGTTAGGGGTCGCTAGAACAAAAGCTGTTCTAATGCAGAGTCACTTTAACAGCAGACGATGCTTCCTAAGACTGGAACTTGTTCGTACAAACAAAGGAACACACTAACGACAACGGACTGAAATAATTTGTATTGTGTTTAATACTCTTCATACGAATATGAAGTGCACAATATTATACTAAATAGCTGGAATGCGTTTACGATTGAATTACACGTTGGATAAGAAAGAGATACCAGTCAACCAGAAAATACGAGTAGAAACTAAAGCTAAGAAATTACCAAAACCATTGACAAAGTAATGACCTGCATGTTTTCACCTTAGTCCCACCTTTACCCTTGACGTATTGTATAAATTACGAACTGACAACAGCACCTCAGACACCATTTATGGTGATTTCTCTCTCTCTCTCTCTCTCTCTCTCTCTCTCTCTCTCTCTCTCTCTCTCTCTCTCTCTCTCCCTCCCTCACACACATGCATTCACAAATATATATGATCAAACACACACACACACACACACACACACACGCGCGCGCGCGCGCGCCAGCGCATTCACATAAACGAATATACAAACATACACAAAGACACACACGCACATTTGATTTCGATGTTTGCAAAACTAGGCACCAATCAGCAATGACGTTGCTTAACATCCTGTTTTAAGTTTGGGATTTTTTAAAGGCATCTTTATCTTTATGCTCAATTTTTCCGAAGCGTATTACCTACTCAAAAGCTACAATTACACAGACGAGAGACAAAAGCAAAATTATGCCAATTTCAACTCTCGTGGCGCTGTTCTCTGTGTCGTCAGCAGATGAAGCTGAAGAAGACGAAGAGCTGCTGCGGCCTACAGGTGTGTAGTCGTTATTTTTTGTAGGCCTCTCCCGGCTCTTTGGCATGTTGTCCATGCTCCCTGATGGAACATCTGTGTTTTTGTAGTGGCTCCCTCCTTGGGTTTCGCTCTTGTGTGTGTGAGGTGGACCCGAGTCCGGTTGCTTCCCCTGGTTTGGAGGACGGTCGTCTTCTTGTGCCAGAAGTCGTCTACAGATGTCTGGCAGGACACCCATCTCGCTGAGAGCCATTGCTCTGGCTACATCTTCTCCACAGTGCTGCATGGCGTTGCCAAAGCAGGTAGCTCTGATCACAGACGTCCTGGGGGTACATGGAAATCACTAGATGACTCCGACATTTGAATGGGTTTTACTTTCCAAGCGACTAAGTCGGGTAACAACATAAATTGTGTCGAAAAGGGTAGAGGGGGTGGGGTGTAACATCAACTTTTAATTTTTAAAAAGAAATGTCTTGTAAGTCAGTAAATAGGAGGTATCAAATGGTTTCGGGAGGTCAAAAAATGTCACAACGCACAATGCGCTTGTTAATATTTTGGGCATAAGGAGCTGTTAGCAGCATCTGAAAGCTTGGTCATTTGCCTTACTTTCAATGAAAAAAATATCAATGTATCTTGAAAAGAAGTAGATCTACAAATGTTTGCGATTGAAGGTGATGGACGTCGCCGGGTTTCAGAGGTAAAACGAACAAGAAAATGGGGCGAAAGATCGGTGACTTCCAAAGCTTGAGAGTCCTAGCAAACTGCAAATTTACATTTCTGTGCCTCTTATCGACATTATTCAGGAAAATCCACATTTTGTATAAACGCATAATTGGTTGGTCTTTGCTGTGCCAACCCCCCCCCCTCCTCCGTCCAGTAATTAGGTAAACATTGTCAAAAGGGCGCTTGACGTATGCCTAAAAAAATTATCCGCTGTGCCCTGCTCTTGGCTTAAAGCTCATTGACTCTGTGGCAGTAAATCATTTCCGTGAAGGTGGACAAAAAAGCGGTTCAGAAGAATTCTGACAAGAATCTTGCCAGCAATGCAGAGGAGTGAAATGTCACGATGGTAGTCACATCATTCAGGATCACCTTCGATTTTGTATAAACGCATAATTGGTTGGTCTTTAAACCAAACATAATTTTGAATAGTTCAGCCAGCTGTTGAAGGAACGAGTCACCACAAAAGACAATAAATTATTATTAAAATGCAGCTGGAATTGAATGATCCCCTGGAGACTTATTCAGGTTTACAGTAGAAGTTTGAGAAGTTACTTTTTTTGTCCCGTTGGTCTTCTTGTCTGAGAGCCCCTTTTCCAGCACCAAGCCCCCCCCCCCCCCTCAAAACCATCCATTCAGTTGTGGGTTAGTCTCGAAATTTAAGCAGCAGCACCAGCACAGCAACAACAACAACAACAATAACAACAACAACAGCAATAGCAACAGCAGCAAGAAAACAAAGGACCAAACAAACTATGGAAAAGAAAGGTTGATTTGCTACTCACCTGCATGCTAGTGTCTGAAGTTGAAGGCCGTCGAAGTCTGTGTTGTTGAACCATTCTCGTCTGATCGTTTCCACCTCGTTTACAAATCCTTCCTCACAGGCATCCAGGGCCGGCTGTGACTTTTCGAAGCATTCGTTTGTCAACTTGGGTATCACGTGTTCTGCGGAAAAGGTCAAAGTTAAAAGTAAACAGACAAAACCCCCAAACAAACGGGGAAACAAACAGTACAACTCTCCGGGGTGAAAGTATAAGTCTTCAATGAGAACACCTTGGAAGAGAGGTAAAAAATTCGCAGGGAGGTCATTCTTTCATCTACCTCTATCCATCTGGAACTCACTCCCAGAATAGAGAAATACAAAAATGTTGAGTTTTAAAATAAATCTAGATTTAAATGTTGCTTCCTTCTTTATTATTTTTTTTTTACTGTGGGAGGCAGTTCTGAAACTTACCTTAGGAAATGATAATATTATATCAGTACATGCAGTTAGTTCGTCCTTTTCATAGTACATGTACTCCTATAATGTACATGAGGCGATGTGCATATTGTCATCAATTGTGCTGTGGTAGTAATGATATCTGCTTATGTGGAAGCTTCTATCTAAAGAGCGAATGTATGCATGTTCATTCACTAGTATTTTGTGTTGAGATAAAGTTATTGTTAAACTCTTGAAGCTATATTGTACGAGAGCGGGCGCTATCGAAATTATCTGCATCATCATCATAGAGCAAACACAAGAACAAGAACAACAGAACAAAAAGAACAAGAACAAAAACCAAAGGAAAAAGTGAAGGAGTGAACGAAACTGTAAACAGTTTACCGTCAATCAGGGAGCAATAGTTTTTCTGTGAGTTCTCCGCGTTGATTCTGTCAAATGTCAAAGAGAGCCAGAAATCCATGAAGTTGGTGATGTTCTCTAGCTCACGCTCGTAGCACGTATAGCGATCCATGTATGTTCTGGGGAGAACAGGTAATTTTGAACTCCAAACTTAAGACTAAAGCACGATATTCTTAATGCTGTACTTCCTAAGGAGTTTTGATCTTGAAAAACTGTATTGGCTTATCGTCGGCCAGTTGTTCAGATGTGCTTAGCTCAAAATATGATTATATTTTAAATGCAGTTTCTTAACCTATAGTATCGTCATAAGACGTAAACTTTAAATGGTGCAACTGATACTTTGATCACAAGTAGTATGCATCACCTTTTTACATTGGATTACAGCAGATTGTACAGACAGCGATTTTCTTTCTTTCCTATTCAGTTTTTAGTAATGAGCCTTTGAACATTAGTTTTCAGACTGCCTTCCTATTTCCTGAACACGTAACACACCTTACAGATCTTGACATTATTTTGATCGTTTTTAGTGTAGGTGTTTTAACCCCCCCACCCCCAAATCGACATAATAGTTTCATCTGCTTACAAAATTGGGTAATTTTTAATTTGCTATACGTGTATCGTTTGCTGTTATAAATGTCTTCAGTGTAATTGAGGATATTAGATATAGATTTAAATGGATAGAACCATCATTCCAGGGCAACCGAGAGAAATATTAAGAGATGGTTGGTTTTCTTTAACACTGTTTTTAAGGATTATGTAATTGTCTCATTTCTAAAGATATTCGCCCCAAAAATACTAAGGAGATGGAAATTTCAGTAGCACTTCACTTAAATGATTGCAAGCAGGGGAAAGGGTACTCAAGAACTATGTTAAAAAGTACAACCTGTCTACAATAATTATTGAAGGGTTCCATAATCTGAATTTGTTATGAGAATACTTTTTTATTTCTCAAAGTCCACTGTTCAGTGTAAAATTCCGTCATTCCTCACTTTTCAAAATGGTGTATGACAGAGTCGTATCAGGTCAATGGTAGCTTACTTGCAATTTGTCTTCAACCTCAAAATGCCAAGTTCGGCCAGTGATGTTGGTTTTGGTTCCGGCTGCTCACTTGATAGTTTCTCTTCTGCTTCTTGGGTGCACTTCACAAGCGCAGTCTTGGGGTTCTTATTAGGAACTCTGAGGAATCAAGATTTGCAAAGTGACAGCAGACTGGAAACCGCCGAAATGTTGTACCTAAAGGGGAAGGCTCAAAATGGAAGCAAAAAAGTGCTCCAAATAGCAGGATGTGAAAGGTTTCTAATCAAAACCCCCAGGAAGAGATACCTGAGATTCTACGGCTAAATAAATAGAACAACCAGTACAATAATTAATTATGGTCTTGGGAAACTGCTACTGTATGGAAAGATAGAAGGCAAGAAGAGCAGAGGAGGAGAGCGAACAACATACCTAGATGAGCCGGATGGTTGTTTGTGTTGTTGTTGTCGTTGTCGTTGTTGTTGTTGTTGTTGTTGTTGTTGTTGTTGTTGTTGCTTTTTATTCATTAGCCTTTGTAGGCATGTATTTGAGTTGCCTTTTTATGTATTTATGTTTGTACATGCAGTCTAAATTTATCACATGTATGCCGTTGTAAACCGGACTTCTCAACGGTAATATAAATTAATATCGAAATGACATCTTTTTCGGTTTGGTTAATTTTGTTTGGTAATGTCAGTAATCTAGTGGTTAGGTTACCGGTCATGTAATCGTGAGGCTGTAGGTTCGGAGGTATGAGCTGCAGGCCCAACGTTGTGTTCTTGTGAAATACACTTTACACAAATCTTCCTCCTTTTACCCAAGTGGGAATGGGTATCCAGCCTTAGACAGCGAAAGATCGTGTCAGTATGCGAGTGTTTTAGTGCCTATAAACGGCAGCTTGCACGGTATGCTTCCTTGAAAGCTTAGATTGTTTCAGAATGCTATCGGGTCTGTTAGGACAATAATACAGAGTGTAAAGCGAATAGAGCTTGCTGCTGTTCCTTCACCGATTTCTATTTTTCTTACTTTTTAGCTAGGTTATCTCAAAGTTTTTTCTTTTCTTCTTTTTCGTTACATTTTGACATGTTGACGAAGTGTCTATCTCCCCTCCGCCTCCCACACACAAGCACACACAAACACACACACGCACGCAAAAAATACATACACACACAC